AAAAACCCGGTCCGGTTTAGCTTGTATTTTTAGTTTACCGGGTTAAATAAAAACCGTCAAACGGGCACGTATCTCACCGCCTCCGTACTTTCACCTTGTGTTTGTGTGTTTCTCACTTCTAACGGTCCGCTTTTAAACGTAAAAAAACGGTTCGGTTTAGCTTGTATTTTTACTACAGCGGGTTAAAAAAAAAAAAAACGCCAAACCGGCCCCGTTTCAACCCCCTCCGCTCCTTTGACCTTGTCCCCGGGCCCCCCCCCCCCCGGACCCGGACCTCTACCCCCCCTCCCCCGCCTCCAGAGACCGGCCGCTGACACCCAGGTGCTGCCTGCGTGGCACAAACATGGCCGGCCCTCCGGAGCCACGTCCGGGGCCTTAGTCAGCGTCGTGGGAGTGATGACTGAATTCCGTCCCGTTTCTCAATATAACCTTTAATTATTTATTCTATTTTTTTCCTTCCAGGAAACTTAAGAACAGAGTGGCAGCTCAGACCGCCAGAGACAGAAAAAAGGCCAAAATGGGGGAGCTGGAACAACAGGTCCTGGAGTTGGAGCTGGAGGTATAAAAGTGTTTCACTAATTAACACAAAAAAGCATCTTGTACTAAGTGAATTGGACATATTGGTGATAATAGGTCGTGACCTAGGCTTTAAAATTCTAGTTTTAGCTTGTCCCGAAACGGACCGTTTAACATGCAAAGGTTTTTCATTTCTCCTCCCCCTCAGAATCAGAAACTTCACATCGAAAACAGGCTGCTTCGAGAGAAAACGACCGGCCTGCTGACAGAAAATGAGGAACTGAGACAGAGGTTGGGGTTGGACACCCTTGACTCAAAAACAAAGGTAGGATTGTAATGCACTGGTCGAGTGACCTGAGGGTCTTTGCAGACTTGACTCAGGTTTTAAATGTTTTTTCTCTCCCCTTTATTTTTTAAAGGTTCAGACTATTGTGTCCACGGGGAATGAAGCGGGTTTGGGGATCGGGTCTTCTGAGTCTGCAGTACTCAGGCTACGTGTGCCTCCGCAGCAGGTGCAGGCCCAGCTGTCCCTAAATCTGAAGACTTCTCAATGGATACAGATAGTCTTGACTCTACAGACAATGAGGTAAATATTTCTCCTTTAACTCATTGGCTGCCAAAGACGTCTATAGACGTCTTTTATGTTTTTCAACGCGAGTGGCTTGGGGGACGATCTGCTAAAGCTTGTCCGTAAATATCAGGCTTCTAGACAGAGTATGTAGTAACAAATTGACCCTCTAGGGGGCAGTGCCACTTTTGATGGGAGATGAGCATAGACTGTAGGCAAATAAGAAAAAGGTAACGGTTCGCTATGAGAGAACATGTCGCCGGTGAGACGCAAGTCCAGGAAGAACGGAATAAGGTAGAAACGAAAAAAATTTCCTGATGAAAGAAGAGAGTCTACTCTTTCTTTTGCTATGTTCGGTGTTTACATAGTCATAGCACAAACTATTCTGCGGCTCTTGAAAAATCAGTCAAAATGCTCAAAAAACTCTGGCAGTATGGGACTCTCTGATCTGAAAATGACTGGCAGTCAATGAGTTAAGAGGGCTTTGTTGGTCGTACAGGAGCCGGGGTCAAAGGTCACCAGGCTAATCCTTTTTTCTCCTTTTCTCCCTAGTCTGATCTGCTCATGGGCATTCTGGACATCCTTGACCCGGAGCTGTTCCTCAAGTCCTGCGAGCCGGAGCCGGCGGAGCTGCTGGGGGGGGGCGGCGCCCCAGTACCTGCCGCCGCACCTGAACCTCTGGGGGCCGCACCAGTTAAGCTGGAGGCCCTTAATGAACTGATCCACTTCGACCACATCTACACCAAGCCCGTGGAGGAGGTGGGCGAGGGCGAAGACCTGCAGAGCGGCACGGACGAGAGGCTCGACGAGGCCGTGGTGGAGGTAGGGGAAGAGGAAGAGGAGGAGGAGGAGGAGGAAGAGGAGAGGGTGTGTGTTAAGGACGAGGAGGAGGAGGTGGAGGTGGTCATCCCCACCTGTCCCGGTCAGGTGGAGGACTTCCTCTCCCCCCTGGAGAAGGAGGCCTGCCTGGCCGACGCCTACAGCGACTCCGGGTACGAGGGGTCCCCGTCCCCCTTCAGCGACATGTCCTCCCCCCTGTGCCCCCAGAGCTCCTGGGAGGACATGTTCGCTAACGAACTCTTCCCCCAGCTCATCAGCGTCTGAACCCAACAGTAAGAGTATATAAATAAACATGCATACTGTATATACACAATAGCTAATGTGTAGCTTCGTCACCCACGGAAACGATCACGGTTTCAGCCGCGTAACTTCTCCAAACGGTTCTAAAAGAGACTAAAGTTAAGTACATAATCTCCTGTTACAGCAGGTCTGTACCACTAATGCTGCATTCATGGAGTTTGACTCATTTCGACGATACTTAATTTTAGAAGATTTAAGATTGCCAACAAATCTTTCACTCGCTGTTAAATGTGGGTGGATTCCAGTATTTGTATACATTTATACTTTTTTTTTTTTCTCTCCTTTTATGGAGGAATGGGGACCCGTCATTTAAATATTACACTTTATTTATTTGTGTATTCTGCTTTGGAGTCTCTCGTCTGCATGTCAAGTTTCTTTTTTGGGCCACTCTTGTAGTCTACTGCATTAAAAAAA